CAGTCGCTGAAAACCCTAAGGAGTCAAGTTCTACTCTCACACACATGGGGTCATCACCATGAGTCAGAATTGACTCGACAGCAACTTTTCTTCTCTTTTTAAATCCATGAACACGGTATACGTATCTCTCCACTTATTTTGGTCTTCTTTAATTTCTCTCAGCAATGTTTTGTACTTTTCAGCATAGAGATCTTACGTGTCTCTCATTAAACTTATCCCTAAGTATTTTGCTTTCAATTCTATGTACGTAGAATTTTTAAAGTTCACTTCCAGCTTTCCCATTGCTAATATAAAGAAAAACAAATTTTTACATATTGATCTTATATCTTGCGACCTTGCTGAATTCACCAATTAGCTCTAGTTCTTTTTTTGTATATTCCTTAAGATTTTCTATATACGTGATCTTACACTCCATGAATAACGACAGTTTTACTTCTTTCTTTCCAAACCGGATGTCTTTTATTTCTTGTCTTGTCACACTGACTAAAATCCCCTTTTCTTTTAAAGAAATTTTAAAATTAGAAAACATATTATATATTTGCCCTTTTAGTTACCCTTCCTGGCACTCTTCATTTCTTCACACAGATCGATGTTTCCACCTAGCATTATTTTCCTTCAGACTGAGGTATTTCCTTTAACATTTCTTTTAGCGCAGATCTGGAAATGAATTTTCTCATGTTTCAAAATACATGTGTATGAAAATGTCTATTTCATATTTATTTTTGAAAAATATTTTCACTAAATATAGGATGCTAGATTAACAGTTTTTTTTGTTTTTTCCTTTCAGCACTTTAAAGATGTTGTCCCACTGTCTTCTGGCTTACGTTGTATCTGAAAAGTCAATGATTATTCTTTTTTTTAATTGCTGTAGTCTAAATGAAGTTTACATTTCAAGTTAGTCTCCCATACAAAATTTTACACATACATTGTTATGTGACCGTAATTGCTCACTCCATTCTGTGACAGCACACTCCTCGTTTCCATCCCTGATTCCCCATGTCCAATCAACCAGCTCCTAACCCTCTCTGCCTTCCCATCTCACC